CAGATTGCTATATTTTATTTTATTTTTTAAAATTAAAAAAATTATTTGAGAGAGAGAGAGAGAGAGAGAGATGCAAGCATGGGAGAGGAGCAGAGGGAGAGAGAGAGAATCTCAAATAAGTTCCACGCTCAGCATGGAGCCCAATGTGCTGCTGGATCCTGCGACCCTGGGATTATGACCTGAGCCAAAATCAAGAGTTGGATCCTCAACCTACTGAGTCACGAAGGTGCTCCAGATTACTATATTTTAAAAATACTTTAATTCTCTTTTTCTGTGATTATGTTATCAAGTCAATGTATAATTAGGTTAATTTCTTTTTATTAAAATACAACTTTAGAACTACTCAGTTGTATGGATGTTCAAATGTTTATTCAACCAGCCTCCTGTGGATGGGCATTTAGAGTATTCCAAATATTTTGTTATTACCAGTAATGCCACATTGAATAAACTTTTTTTTTTTTTTTTTGTGAGGGGTGTATCTTCAGGGTAATTCCTAGAAGTGAGAATGCTGGAACAAAAAATAAATGCACATACAGTTTTGGTAGACAATGCCAATCCCCACCCAATGGATTATATCATTTTGTATTACCACCTGGAAAGTTTGTATATGATTGTTTCTTCATAGCTTCAAGTGTGTATTGAAAAGCTCGTGGGACATTAGGGTGGCTCAGTCAGTTGAGCATCTGACTCTTGATTTGGGCTCAGGTCATGATCTCATGGTTCATGAGATCGAGCCCTGCATGGGGCTCACACTGGGCATGGAGTCTGCTTGGAATTCTCTCTCTCTGTCTCTCTCTGACCATCCTTTGCCTACATTCTCTCTCTCTAAATAAACTCTAAAATATAAAGAAAAAGAAAAGCTTCTGAATTTTTGCCAATATGAAAGGTAAAATTGGCATCAGTATTGTGCATTTATTTTTTTTTATTTTTTATTTTTTTTAAATGTTTTATTTATTTCTAGGAGAGAGAGAGAGAGACAGCGTGAGCAGGGGAGGGTCAGAGAGAGGGAGTCACAGACTGAAACAGGCTCCAGGCTCCGAGCTGGCAGTCAGCACGGAGCCCGACGTGGGGCTCGACCCCACGAACCGTGAGATCATGACCTAAGTGAAAGTCGGATGCTTAACCGACTAAGCCACCCAGGCGCCCCAGTATTGAGCATTTATTTTATTATAGGTGAAAATTATGTATTTTTAAATACGTTTAAGGGTATTTTTTTCTTTGGGTTTTCTCTCCCTTTTAGTTTTTAAAAACTTATTCCCCTCATGGTCTTATTGAGGTAAAATAGATGTATTATAAACTGCACACATTTAAAATATCTGATTTGTTGAGTTTTAACATATGTATAATGAATATTCTAATTACCCCCAAAAGTTTTGTCTTTGTAATCCATCTTTTTGTCATCCATTATTCCCATCCCTGGGCAAGCACTGCCTCCCTTCTATAACTTACAGATTCTTATTCTACCATATTTCCCATTTATTTTGAGGTTTCTGTGCCCTGGCTAGTGGGGACATAAACTCTCCCCAGTGCTGTAACAGCTCTGAGGATTGTTCCACCTGCTCATTACCAGTGGTTCTTTCTCTGGCCTCGGGAGTTTCCCTCACATGCATGTTATTCCTAGTACTTAGTTAAGACTCAAGAGGAATCCTCTTTAGATCCCTGGACTTGTCTATCTACACAGCCCTCTCCTCTCCATGCATCCTCTTTGGTACTCTGCCCTATCTTTACCTCACCAAATTCTAACTCTGTCTTCTCAACTCAGTGGAGACAGCTTGGCTTTGTTTGGGCTCCCCCTCTTTTTGTTGTGGCCTGGAAACTCTCTTCAGGCAGTAAACTGGGGCCATCAAAGGCATGACTTCATTTGTTTTGTTTCTCTCAGGGATCATGCCTTATGTTGCTTGCAGTCCAGTGTCTGAAAACCATTCTTTCATGTGTTTTGTCTGGTTTTCAGCTGTTTCAGATATGATAGTAATCTAGTCTCTGCTACTCCATTATGGCCATAGTCATAAAGTTTCCCTTATTTTTATGAATTTTTTACATATCGGAGAGATGAGCTCTTGATATATGCTATCTGTTCAAATATTTCTCCTAGTTTGTCATTTATCATTTGGTTTTGTTTATGGTGGTTTATTTTTCATGAAAAAAGCTTTTTATTTTAATGCAGTCAAATTTATTTAACATTTTCTTTTGTTGCATCTGGATTTCAGATCACTTTTACATCTTTTTTAATTAATTTTTTTTTAGGGGCTCCTGGGTGGCTCAGTCGGTTAAGCATCTGACTTAGGCTCAGGTCATGATCTCAGGATTCGTGGGTCTTAGTCCTGCATTGGGCTCTCTGCTGTCAGCACAGAGCCCACTTTGGATTTTCTGTCCCTCTCTTTTTCTGCTCCTCCCCCCATTCATTCTCCCTCTCTCCCTCTCAAAATAAATAAATAAACTTAAAAAATTGTTTTACTTAGAGAGAGAGAGAGAGAGAGAGTGAAGGAGAGAGAGAGAGAGAGAGAGAGAGAGAGAAAGGGGCAGAGACAGAGGGAGAGACAGGAGACAGAATCCCAAGCAGGCTCTGTGCTGACAGTGTGGAACCTGATGTGGAACCTGACGTCACAAACCCTAAGACCTGAGCAGAAATCAAGAGTCTGACACTTAACCCATTGAGCCACCCAAGTGCCGTCAGGTCACTTTTAGACAGCTTTTCCTACACTCAGATTATAAAAGATTTCCCCTTATTTTTCTACTGCTTGTATGGTTTCTTTGCTTTTTTTTTTATATATGAGTTTATTTTGGTATATGGTGAGAAGGATATATCTAATTTTTATCTTCTTTCAAATGATTATACATTTGAATAATCAAATGGACAGCATTTATTAAAAATCTCATCCTTTCCTTGTCATGTGAGATGCTACCTATGTTACGGTAACAAAATAACTTTCATATATACTTGGGTCTATTTCTGGAATTTCTGTTCTGTTCTACTGGTCTACTTCTCACTAACACCATGCTCTTTTCATTCTAAAACCTTTTATTATATTTTAATTTCTGGTAGAGCTATTCTCTTCTTATGGCTGTTACTTTTCAGAATTTCCTAGATATTCTTTTTCCACATGAGCTTTAACATCATATTTTCTAGCTAAAAAACAAAACAAAACAAAAACAACAAAAAAAACCCTGGAATTTTTATTGTGATCATATTATAGTTAAATATTAACTTAGGGAGAAGTAATATCTTTATTATGATGAACCATCTTATTCATTTTACCTAATAGGTCTTTCTATAAGTTCAGGCCTGTTTTTGTGTTCTTTAGGAGAATTTAAAAGTTTTTTTACATAAATTTATTCCTAGGTATTTTATATATTTTTTATTGCTTTATAACTGATATTTATTTTCCCATTATGCTAAAAGAGACTTTGAAAAGATTTTATACTTATTATTGGTCTCCCCACCCCTAAAATAAATAAATATGATTTGCACACTTTGCCTTATAGCCAGTACCTTACTTAATAGCGGAACACCAGAGTCATCCCCACAAAGACCTGGAACAAAGCAAAGATGCTCTTTTAACTGGTTGTTCTTTGTCTATATAAAGTCTATTGATTTTTGTATGTTAGTTTTATATCCTTCTGTATTATTGAGTACTTTTTAAAAAGATTTTTTTAAATGTTTATTTATTTTGAGAGAGAAACAGAGTGTGAGTGGGGTAAGGGCAGGGAGAGAAGGAGACAGAATCTAAAGCAGGCTCCAGGCTCTGAACACTCAGCACAGAGCTTGATGGGCTTGAACTCTTGAACTGTGAGATCATGACTTGAGCTAAAGTCGAACATTTAACTGACTGAGCCACATAGGCGACCTGAGTACTTTTTTGTTTTTGTGTTTGTTTGAGTTAGCTTTACTAGTGATTCTACTGGGCTAGCAGGTATACTATTATATCATCTGCATATAGAAAGCATTTTACTACTGCTATTCTGAGTAGTATGGTTGCTTGTTTTCTATTGCCAAATTTCATTGCAATATGATGTTAAGTAGTAGTGGAGATTGTGGGCATCCTTGCTTTGTTCTTGTTTTTTGCTTTTGTTTTTGTTTTTGTTTTTGTCAGAGTGCCTTCGGTGTTGCCTTACTAAATAGTGTTGCCTTACTAAATAAGGTACAGGCTTTAAGACTAATTCTGTAAAATTGTATCATATTTATTTGGAGGGGGTAGTGTAAGTTATATTAGTTTGTTAGAGCTCTCACAATGGAATACTGCAGACTGGTTAGCTTAAACAACAGAAATTTATTTTCTCACAATTCTGGAAGCTGGAAGTCTGAGTTAAAAGTGTTGGCAGTTTGGGTTTCTTTTGAGGCCTCTCCTCTACTTGCAGATGTCTAACCATTCACTGTCCTCCAGTGGTCATTCTGTCTCTGTGTGTGTCCTAATTCTAATGAGAACATAGTGGATTAGGACCCACCCTAATGATCCATTTTAACTTAATTATATCTTTAAAAGTCCTATTTTGAGATACACTTCTTGGGGTTTAGGCTTCAACATATGAATTTTATGGGGGGGGGGGACACAATTCAGCTCATAACAGACCTTATCTGGAATGGGTGTAAAATTTTGTCAGACTTTTTAACATGAATGAAGATATTCATAATTTTTGTCCTTACTTACATTATTATAATAAATTATAACAATGGATTTCCTAATACTGAATTATTCTTACATTCTAAAGTAAATCTCATTTGATCTCATGTATTATTTCTTTGATGTTTTGGATTCTGTGTGCAAATATTTTATTAAGGATTTTTTAAAAATATATATTTTTTTTATTTCTAAGAGAGAGAGAGACAGCGCGAGCAGGGGAGGGTCAGAGAGAGAGGGAGACACAGAATCTGAAGCAGGCTCCAGGCTCTGAGCCGGCAGTCAGCACAGAGCCCGACGCGGGGCTCGAAACCACGAACTGCGAGATCATGACCCAAGCGAAAGTCGGACGCTTAACCGACTAAGCCACCCAGGCGCCCCTATTAAGGATTTTTGCATTAAAATTACTACGTAAGGTTGGTCTGCAATTTTTTTTTTGCCTTATATTTACATGTGTACATATCAATGCTATACTTGCTTTGCAAAAGGATTTGGGAGTTTTGCTTCTTTCCCTAAGCACTAGAGCAACATATATGCCATTGGGATTATCTGATTTTTCATCTTTTCAGGAGAATTTGCCTGTGAAATCATATGCACTTGGTGTTTTCATTTGGGGTATTTCCTTAATAATGTTTGCTGTTTTCTTCTATACATCTTTTTAAACTTTCTGTCTTTACTGGGATCAACTGGGTAAACTGCATTTTCCTAGAAAATTATTCAGTTCATATAGTTCACATTCATTTGCAAAGTAACCTCTTATGATTTTAAAATTAACCTGTTTTAATGGTCATTTTCTTGTCATAATTTCTTACTTCGTGAAAGCCTAGTTACATTTATTGACATGTCTTAAGCATTGGTGATATTATTTCAATCCTGAAATCCCTACCGTAAAACATACCACAGGGGGTGGTGGAAGAAGGTGCAAAATAGCCGTTCCTGAAAGGCGCATCCTTCTTTCTACATGATCTTCATCAGTTTTACCTGAAGAAGCCTCATGGTTATTTTGCACTTAAAAATAAAGTTATAGCAATCAAAAACAACTTTGGGGCAAAATAAAACATTAGAGAGCTTTGAAACACATGGAAATAGCTGACAAACTGCAGAGCACAGATCTTTGGCATAGAAAGGTCTGCTTAGTAAAATACTGGATCATCCAGACATGGGGCTCAGTTCAAATGCTACATTTGAAATGTCCTAACCAGAAATGTAGTGAGTAAATTAGTGACTGTCTTTATAAAACTGAAACATTGAGGTATCACTATTTATAGTGAACTTAATTAGCATGGTTTGGGAATAAATATAATTATAACATTAAGAAAAAGAGAGTCTGAAAAGCAATATAACTTTTCAAGAGTTATTTTGATAAAAAGTCATTGAAATCATTAGTCATTATGTGAATTGAGTCTGTATTTCAATGTTATTGCCCTAATGGATAAGAAACGCTAAAATTATCATATGTAAGTAATTTATTTTGGTAGAGATTTTGACGATTCATCCAACATATTGCTCCTTTAGACACAACATTTTTTAGTCTGGTTATCACATCCTTTAAAGTTTTAACTTAGAACCTTGATTTATACTTCCAATTGTTCTTGGATAAATTTCCAATTTCCTAATTCATTTGAAAGATCTTAAATCTGGTTCTCACAAATCTCTCCAAATCTTTTATTTTTCCTCCCTTCCCTCAAGAACCTTGTGTTTAGCTATGTTGAGGTGCTTTTACTTTCTAGAATTTGACCTATTCTATCTTATCCCCAGGCCTTTGTAAAAGCTGTTTCTTCACCTTAAGCATTCTTAACACCTTTTGTTTTCCACCTCATTTTCTCTTACAAAGGAGTCTCAGCTTAAATTTCACTTATTTGGGAAGGTCTTGTCTGTCTCTTAGATTTAGGTCAGCCATTAGGTTCCCTTGCTCTGTGATCCCAAAGTACGCTGGTTTTTTTTTTTTCCTTAATTACAATAGCCTACATTATAACTGCTTCATTGTATGTTTTCTGAACTCTCAAGCTCAAAGACAGCAGGCACTGCTTGTTTTATTCCCTCCTATCTCTTCAGCATATGGCAAGCTCCCTGTAAGTACTGCCTGAATGGATGAGAGAATAAATAGATGTACAAACTACTGCAGTAAATATGTTCCTTTAAAGGTATGTCAAATCTGCTATTAAAAATTATTTTTTCATTGTGAAGTCTCATTTAATTGTATTGTATCTGTCACTCTGCAATGAATATGAAAGAACTCTGTGGCACAGGCATAAAGTAATGCCTACCAGCTGTCGCAAGTTACTTGTGAAACAGCATGTCTATAGCATAAACATAGTTAATTTAATCCTTTAGCTTCTGAGAATTGGCATAGGAAAGTTGTAAAAATATTATACTTTATCTTTATAACCTTAAAACCTGCTTAGTATCTGTCCTATAGAGAAGGTATTTTACATAAAAAGAGAATGAGTATGGAGCAACTTGAAGATTTGGAAGAGGATTTTCAGGAGCTGTTGATTTGTTTAAAGACTGACTATGATATTTAAATTAAGTTCTTAACTTTTTCCTTTAGAAGAATGTAGACATTTGAAGTGGTATTATTTACAACTTTATTTTAGCAATTTAACAGTATTTTTAGCCTTAGTGGTCTTATTTTAGTAACATTGCAGTTTGAGCTAGTCTGTGGTATTTGGAAAAAAGATCAGATTTACGATGGTGACATATATGGTGTGAAAGCACTCACATGATTTTAAAAGATGACTTAAGACCTATGCATAATCAGACTAAACCTGTATTAAATTAAGAAAAAAAATTATCTTTCACTGTTTTAAAAAGCAAAAGAGCTCCACCTGGTGTTGAACAAAACTATTGAACAATTTTTGTTTGAGGATTTAGAATTTTTCATTTTCTACAAATTGTGATTCAGAATGTTTGCTCAGTATTCTATTCTATTTATACTAATGCTAAATATTGTTCCTAAACTAATTAATTTCTGATAAAAATGGGCTTACCTCTAATGTTTCTTTTTTTAAGTTTATTTATTTTAAGACAGAGAGAGAGAGAGGGAGAAAGTGAGTGGGGGAGGGGCAGAGAGAGAGGGAGAGAAAGAATCCCCAGCAAGCTCCATGCTGTCAACACAGAGCCCAATGTGGGCTTGAACCCATGAACCATGAGATCATGACCTGAGCTGAAACCAAGAGTCAGATGCTTAACTAACTGAGCTACCAGGCACCCCTTACCTTTAATGTTTTAAAAAGCTTTAGAAAAGTTTTTTTTATCATGCCTGTCCTTCATATCTATCTGTGGTGGAACAGTAAGAATGCTCCTCACAGAGGGTGGAGCCCAGCAGCTATGATTTGAGATCCATCTGCCTCTTGGTTTGCTCCAAGTTACTTCCCATTGGTTGCTCCATCCAAAACTGAATACAGTGATGTACTGAGGCCCATTCTCAGTTCTGGAGGACAGGTTGACTCCTTTATTGGCCCACTTTGGCTCTAGTACTTCCTTAGGGTTTTGCCAAACCTTCCTTAGACTGCACAGCAGTCTCAGATGTGTCCATTCAACCATTCAACCATCAGTCAATCTTATCCTTTAAATTTTTGTTTTAAATTTTTATTTTTGAGAGAGACAGAGCATGAGTGGGGGAGGGGCAGAAAGAGAAGGAGACACAGAATCTGAAGCAGGCTCCAGGCTCTGAACTGTCAGCACAAAGCCCAACATGGTGCTCGAACTAAGGAACCATGAGATCATGACTTGAGCCAAAGTTGGACCCTTATCCGACTGAGCTACATAGGCGCTCCCCCAATCCTATTCTTTCAGATTAGACTTGCATACAGTCTGACAGCTCTCCCAACTTTACCCAGCTCCCTCCTTATTTCTTTGCACACAGGCATTTCCTTCTAATAAAGTACTTGCATTTTCCATTTATTTATGCATTTTAAATAAAGATTGGGTATAATTTAAGGTGTACCACATGATGATTTTATATATATATATGTATATATATATATGCATGGTGACATGAATACTAGAGTCAGGCTAATTAACATGTCAGTTAATTACCTCATACAGTTACAATTTTGTGTGTGTGTGTGTGTGTGTGTGTGATGAATGCCCTTGAAATATGTTCTCTTAGCATATTTCCAGTAATCAATACAGTAACATTAAGTATAGCCATCTGCCTGTACATTAGCTCTCTGGCTTATTCATCTTACATAACTGCAAATTTGTACGCTTTGACCAATGTCTTCCTATATCGTCAGCCCCTGATAACTACTCTTCTACTCTCTGCTTCTACTTTAAAAAATTATTGAAGTATAATCGAAATACATTATATTAGCTTCAGTATATATCAATATATGCAATATATTGATTAGAAAATTCTATGCATTACTCTGTGCTTACCACGGTAAGTATAGTCACCATCTGTCACCATACAATGCTATTAAAGTATTATTGAGTATATTTCCTCTGTTGTATTTTCTCAGTAACTTGTTTATTTTATATCTGGAAATTTGTACCTCTTAATCCCCTTCATCTATTTTGCCTATCCTCCTACCCACCTCCTGTCTAGCAACCACCAGTTCTCTGTATTTAAGAGTCTGTTTGTTCATTTGCTTTGTTTTTTAACTTCCACATAAAGTGAACTTATATGGTATTTATCTTTTTCTGCCTTATTTCACTTAGTATAATGCTCTCTAGGGCCATCCTAGAGATGTTGTCATACATGGCGAGATAGTATTCTTTTTTTTTTTATGGCTGAGTCATAATCCATTGTGTGTGTGTGTGTGTGTGTGTGTGTGTGTGTGTATGTGTGGGTGTGTGTGCCACATCTTCTTTATCTATTCATCTATCAAAAATACTTTGAAGATACTTCAGTTGCTTCCATACAGATAATGCTGCAATAAAGATAGAAGGGCATATATCTTTTTGAATTAGTGTTTTTGTTTCCTTTGAGTAAATGCCCAGTAGTGGAATTACTGAATCATATACTATTTCTATCTTTAATTTTTTGAGGAACCACCATACTATTTTCCACAATGGTTGCACCAATTTACATTCCTACCCATAGTTCACGAGAGTTCCCATTTCTCTACATCCTCACCAACTCCTGTTGTTTCTATGTTGTTGATTTTAGCCATTCTGACTGGTGTTAGGTGATATCTCATTGCAGTTTTAATGTGCATTTCCCTGATGATTAGTGATGTTGAACAACTTTTCATGTGTCCGTTGGGCATCTGAATGTATTTTTTGGGCAAATACATAATCATGTCTTCTGCCCATTTTAAAATCAGATTGTTTGGTTTTGGTGTTAAATTGTATAAGTTCTTTATATTTTAGATGTTAACGCTTGTTGGATACATCATATGCAAATATCTTTTCCCACTTAGTAGGGTGTCTTTTTATTTTGTTGACAGTATTCTTTGCTGTACAGAAGGTTTTTATTTTGATGTACATCCAATAGTCTATTTTTGCTTTTGTTTCTCTTGCCTAGGGAGACGTATCCATAAATATGTTGTTAAGGTTGATGTCCAAGCAGTTATTGCGTATGTTTTCTTTTAGGAGTTTTATGGTTTCGGGTCTCACATTTAGGTCTTTTTTTTTTTTTTAAGAATTTTTAATGTTTTATTTATTTCTGAGACACAGAGAGAGAGGAAGCGTGAGCAGGGGAGGGTCAGAGAGAGAGAGGGAGACACAGAATCTGAAGCAGGCTCCAGGCTCTGAGCTAGCTGTCAGCACAGAGCCCGACGCGGGGCTCGAACCCACGAACCATGAGATTATGACCTGAGCCAAAGTTGGATGCTCAACTGACTGAGCCACCCCGGCGCCCCACATTTAGGTCTTTAATCCATTTTGAGCTTGTGTGTGTATGTGTGTGTATGTGTTAAAAGAAAGTGGTCCAGTTTCATTGTTTTGCATCTAGCTGTACAGTTTTCCCAGCAACATTTACTGAAGAGACTATTTCCTCATTGTAAATTATTGTCTCCTTTGTTCTGGATAAATTGACCGTATACCTGTGGGTTTACTTCTAGACTGTTCTATTGATCTATGTGTCAATTTCTGTGCCAGTATCATGCTGTTTTGATTACAATACCTTTGTAGTATAGTTTGAAATCTTGGATTGTGATACTTCCAGCTTTGTTCTTCTTTCTCAATATTGCTTTGGCTATATTGCTTTGAGGTCTTTTGTGGTTTCCATACATATTTTAGGATTATTTGTTTTAGTTCTGTGAAAAATGCTATTGGTATTTGGTAAGGATTGCACTGAATCTATAGATTGCTTTGGGTAGTATGGACACTTAAACAATATTAATTCTTTGAATCCATGAACATGATATATCTTTCCATTTGTTTGTGATGTCTTCAGTTACTTTCATCTATGTCTATCCTTTCATTTTTTTAAATGTTTATTTACTTTTGAGAGAGAGAGAGAGAGAGTGAGAGAGAGGCAGAGAGAGAGGAAGACACAGAATCTGAAGCAGGCTCCAGGCTCTGAGCTGTCAGCATAGAGCCCAATGTAGGGCTTGAACCTATGAAGTGTGAGATCATGACCTGAGCTGAAGTCAAACACTTAACCAACTGAGCCACCCAGTTGCCCCTATCCTTGTACGTTTAATCCTGTCTATGTATTTGTTTCTTAGAGATCCTGGACTAACACAATACTACTCCTGGAAGTTTTATGGAAAATATGTAAGTGGAGCCATATTTATTAATACCTAATATTATTTCTAATATTAATAATAGTATTATATAATATGAAATATTCTAAGGTATGAGTTGTCTAACATCTGGTTCTTATCTATTAAATTATATTTTGACATCTTAAAGTCAGGTCTGGGTCTCTATTAGCTTGCCTAATTAGTGTATGTATGGAAAAGTGCATGTGTCCTTTGAGGCCACTCAGCTTTGAGATTCCCTGGCCACATGTTGGATTTCTAAGTTAATGAACAATCTTATTGTTTGTATCATTCAAAAGGGCATCTGGGCAAGAGTGATGATTAATCCAAGTAAATCCAATACCTCTTCCAGAAAAATACCTTCAAAGATTTTTTTAATGTATGGAGGGAAGGACTTGAACATCATCTTTGTACCCACACAATCAATTATATTCAGTATTACATTTCAATGTTAAGTGTGATGATTCAAATGTGGATTCAGATTTGTTTGGCTTTATCACTGAAATGGGGCATACATTATTGGAATATTCTAGAGAATAATCAATGTTATAGAGTGAAAAACATTGCAGCTCTTGATAGAAAGGCACTGGGCACTGGTAACTTACAACTCCAGGAAACTGCCCAGAGGGGTCTTGTGTCATGGCTATGTTCTTGGTTTACTTTTGACTCACTGATACGAAGTATTATTGATGGTGATTATAGTGATAGTATCACTAAGAGGTAATACAACTCTAGGAAAATAAAACTTCACACTACTTTGTAGTGTGATATAATGGAAAGAACCATAGCCTGAGAGATAGAATATCCGCATTTGAGTTGGCTTCACTACATGATAACTCTCAAGGCTTGGGTAAGCCACTTGCTTTCTTTTGGTCTCAGTTTCCTTATCTGTAAGATGTGGTACAAATCTTTGACTCACATAGTCATTAGATTTAAATAATTCACACAGAAACATTTGGCAAACCAAAGCACCATATTAAAGTTATACTATTGTTGTTTAATTGTATTTCTTTCTTTCTTTAAAGATTTTATTTATTTATTTATTTATTTATTTTTATTTTCTAATGTTTTATTTCTTTCTTTTTTTTTTTTTTACAAATAGTTTATTGTCAAATTAGTTTCCACATAACACTCAGTGCTCATCCCCAAAGTGCCCTCCTCCATGCCCCTCCCCCCACCCCCCCACATCCATCAGTCCTCAGTTTTTGTCAGCATTCAAGAGTCTCTCATGCAGAGAAGGATAAAGATTTTATTTTTAAGTAATTTCTACACTGAGCATGGGGCTTGAACTCACAACCTGGAGATCAATAGTTGTATACTTTACTAAGTCAGTGGGGCACCACTGTTGAATTGTCTTTCTAATGAAAATGTCTGCTAAAGAAGATCAGTAGGTATTCTGACCTTTGATAGGAAATATGGATTTTATAGTCCATGCTAAGAGATTTCTTAAATAAAAATGTTCTTAACTATTTAAATAAAAATTTTAAGTTGAAGTATAATTGACACACATAAACAGTTTAAATAAACAAAATTGGCCTTATTTTGCTTTGCTTCTTTCACATAAAATATATGAATTATTTAATAATGAAAAATTTTTTTATCATTGAACTACCCTTTGTAAGGCTAAGAATGTAAACAAAGTGAGTATAAATTCAAACTGAGTGAAAGATTTGGATGAAATTGAGAAATAATTCTCTCCCTTAAATTTTGAATTGTAGTGATGGAAGACTGAGGATATATTTATACCTCTTGACAACTGAAGCAAGGAATGAAAGAAGGCATTTTTATTTTTTTGAAAATATGAACAATAAAAATATTTTTGCTCTAATGTTTTTTTATTGTGCTTTTTGGGGAGGTTTTCATGAAAGTATATTGATAATGTAAGTTATCTCCACAAACTGTTTTTTAAACTGTAACTGACAATGTTATTTATTTATTTATTTATTTCTGAGAGAGAGAGAGAGACAGCATGAGCAGGGGAGGGTCAGAGAGAGAGAGGGAGACACAGACTGAAACAGGCTCCAGGCTCTGAGCTTGCTGTCAGCATAGACGCGGGGCTCAAACCCACGAACCGTGAGATCATGACCTGAGCCGGAGTCAGACGCTTAACCTACTGAGCCACCCAGGCGCCCCCTGACAATGTTATTCTATGATAATAAAATATTGCCTATGAATTATTTATTTGTAGTTATGAATTATTTATTTGTAGTTAAAACACAATTCTACCATTTTACTTTATTCTTCATTTTTTCTGCAACCTAAGTGTGATAAGTGTAACATTATTATTATGAAGTAGTTCGTTCGGTTAAGCATCCTTATTCTAGTTAACTTAAGGAAAGAATGAGAAATTAATAAGATACAGGTATCTCACACATATTCCAAGGAAAACCTGACCATCTGTGCCTTATGATGTGCAGGAACAGGCAGCTCTAGGGATCTAGGTGGCAATTTTGCATCCTCTCTTTGTTTTAAGATTCATATTTCTCAAATTAAAGTCTGGTCAAGGTTGCATTCTGTGCCCACCTCCTGCTCCTGAGAAGGTAAAATACCCTTCATGCAATATCAGATCCATGTACCAAAGAGGGGTGGTGCCCCCCAAAAGCAAAGCGATACTGGGAAAGAAAAAATAATACCAATGCTTGATGTATTCAACTCCAATGTTTTCCAATACATTTTTGTTTGTTTGTTTGTTTGTCGTAGTTATAATCATTTCCCTTGGTTATGGAGATAAGTATGCAGTAATCTGTTAAGTTGTGATGAACTCAGATGCCCACCAACATGCTTTTTGATGCATTTGTTCCTTTTCTCTAAGCAAATGTTGCATTAGAAAGATCAGAGACTGGCTCTTGACCATTGAAGCATTGGCATTTAAAAAATTTTTGATATGAGTGCCACTGGGCAAAGTTAAGGCAAGGTAACTGGAACATTGCAGGTTTTACACATGCTCAAGTAAATTGTGCTCCTTTGCTCCTTCCTATTTTCACCATGGCCGTTACCGACAGGGGGACAAGAGCAGAGGTGGAAGATGCTCATGGTTTCATCTCCATAGTTAGAAGTGTTTCATCTCCAGAGTTAGAAGCTCTGTACATGCATGTCCATGGAGAGTGCACAAGTGTGGCTTTTGGGACTAATTACTTGTATATTGCTGTTTTAAAAATAAGTCCTGTAATGCCTTTAGTTTGGAGTTAGCTAGAAAGGCATTAGAAGAAAGGCAGGATATATATATTCAGGAGTGTCAGCTGCCCCATAGCTGAAAAACTCTCAGAACAGCTCTGATTTCTATCACTCTTGTGTATGTATTATAATGATATTTATTATTTACTTAAGACAACATTTAACTAAATGTCTAGCCACTCCATTTTTGGTGAAATTTAAAGCATTATACACATTCAGATTCTACTGTTTGTGAGTTTACTTTTTAAGTAGTTATGAAAATATCATTTGCATATTCAATTTATCTTAACAAAACTGATATTCTAACAAGAAACACTAGGGGGCATTCATTGCTCTGTGCAAAGACATTTGTATGCTTTATTTTTATACTTTCCAATGCAATTTGTTCATAAGCTTGAGAAATAAAATATGAAAATTTTCATTTTCTAAAATATGTTAGCATAGGGAAAATTGAGAGTAATTACTAGCAGGGCAATTTGAAAATAATACATGTTAGAATATGTAAAAGTGTTGTTTAATGAATTTGTATTTTAAAATAGTTTAGATTTTTATAAAATTAGCAAAGCCAGGAGTTTACAAAAATAGTCAGCATACCACTGAATACTAAACCAACAAACAAAGGCAAAAATAAAAAATAGATGAGTGGGCAACAGGGCACAAAAATACTCAATATATCGTAACGCTTATAATGGAAACAAATCCTTAAATAATTTGACAATGTCTCTTAAAATATATCAACAAATAATACAAAATATCAACTTTTCAGAATTTCTAGCATAGAAGAATAAATCTGACATAACTTTAGTCTTATCTTTATTTAAATGCATATGGAATTTAAAAATATAAAATAAGTTACGATATAGAAGTAACATCAATGAGTTAAGTGAATTTATGTACTCTTTAATTGTCATTTTAATATAAAGTATCACTGAAGTTGTCCCACTCTTATTTCCATTCTAAATTTTTCTTATTTTATCTTCCTATTCTCTGGTACTTTATACCATTTAACTTGTTCATTTATGAATACAACTATTTTATAGGGTGTATTCTGCATTCACAAGGCATTGTGGCATTGTGTTGGGTATTGCAATTCTCAAATATTGTGTGTATACCGCAGCAAAATGTGCTCAAATAATTTGAGGATAAGTACAAATCCTCACAGATTTTTGCCTTGAGATAACTGAAAAAAGCAGTGATTTCTTTTAGCCTCAATTTCTTTTGGACTAGCCATATGATTAAATATTTATTTGCTTGATTTAGACCACAGTAGGGAAAGTCACACTAACAATTTTGTATATAGGTAACTTTATAAAACTACATGGCCTAACAAAAACCCAAGGAAACAAACATTGTCTTCGCGTTTTTAGCCATAAATTTTGCATATATGTGCATATATGTGTGAAAAATTTTTTGACCCCAAGTGTCATAACATGAATCTTAACATGTCTCACCTCTGCCTTTAGAAACCCATTTTTCAGATCAAGGAGGAGTCTATTGAAAGTAAATAAATTGAAATAATATGTAGAAAACCCCCTTAAAAGTATACTTAAAAGTATAAACTGCTTCTGTTAGGAATTTACCCAAGGGATACAGAAATGCTGATGCATAGGAGCACATGCACCCCAATGTTCATAGCAGCACTCTCCACAATAGCTAAAACATGGAAAGAGCCTAAGTGTCCATCAACAGATGAATGGATCAAGAAGATGTGGTTTATCTATACCATGGAATACTACATGGCAATGAGAAACAATGAAATCTGGCCATGTGTAGCAACATGGATGGACCTTGAGGGTGTTATGCTGAGCGAAATAAGTCAGGCAGAGAAGGACAAATATC